ATAAAAATTTACACGCGCCCATAATTCATGGAAGAAGTTGAGGATGAATTTATGATAGGATCACGTTTTATTGGCAAAAACAGGAACGAACAAAGTTTTTTTTTCTTTAAAATTTCCTTTAAATATTCAATAGCAGTCGATCGATAAAGTGAGGATAGAAAAGCTAGACTTAAATTTACGCATTATTGAGGCGATAAATATTGCGAAGCCTGGTAGAAGTAGTTTGGGTTCTTGTTTCGCACTTTCGCGTTTATTGATTGAGTTTAGATAATAAACACGTGGGCACAGGTTTTTTAGATAGAAAGGAAGTTTGTGGCACTTTTTGGAGATGTCTTTTAATGACATAAAGGTAAATAATGCAAGATTAAAATGATTAGGCAAGAAAGCTGCTCAAATTTGGCGACAAGTCTATAACATACTGAAGATAATTATCAACATGTTGAATTGACCCAAAATTTAATATTCTGCCTAATGATTTCAATAGATACAGCCCAGAAATGCACTCTAGACTCATTCAAACCTTAAATATCCTCAAACGTATTCTTACGCTTTTAAAGCTTATTAAAAATTCGCAAGATTCTGGCAAATGTGCCGAAAAAATGTATTCTTAGATCTCCTACATTAACCATGACTTTGCTCGATAATAAAAAAGGAATTTAATTATGATGAGATACGAAAGCAAAAAAAAAGTCGAGACGTTGCCAGGAAAGTTTTTTTTTTTTGCTGCATGTTCTTTAAAAGAGAAATTCCAGTCATGGAGGTGATGAGGATGAAAATGTTTAAAATTAATATCTCGATTATGTGAATTCTTTATATTCTCATGATAATTAATTGATGTGGATGTACGTAAATGCTCGCGTATTTGAAGATGAAAATGATGAAATTACAGCAACATAATAATCAGAATAATGAAGAGAAACCTTAGAACTTCATCTATTCTATTCAATTTTGAAAGAGATTCTCAGTTCTTTTATTCTGTCTTAACAGAGTGTTTTTAGGATTAATTCAATGATGATGATGATGACGATGATGATACCATTAAATTACACGAGATTAAATTTTTTTAAAGGAATTTCTTTTTCTGGCGATGCTGCACAGATGAGAAGAAACAAAAAAATTGAATTAACGTTTATCAAGTGACATAACTTTCAAAGCAATGCCCTCGTATGTTTCCAAACTAACTTAGATTAAACGACGAGTCTTTAGAAAAAATTTTAATTAAAAATCTCATCATTCTTTTTTTTTCTTTTCTTTTTCTCTTATTTGTCAGCACTTGAAATGAATTTTTTTTCCTCCTTCTTTTCATTTTTATTTTGTTATGAAGGAAGAAAAAAAAAAGAATCTCTCGCTTCCTTGTATGTTACAGGAAAAATATCAATTGTTTTGCTTGAAACTTTTTTTTTAGATTCTTCTTTTTTTGCTTTCTTGGCTCAAAAAAAGAAGATTTTTAGCACAAAAAATTGCAGACATAAAGGTGGGCATTGAATCGGATTGAATGGATGTCTGTGGGATTGTTTGTAAAAGGAACTTAAAGATCTGAAAAGAGTTTTTATTGAAAAGGAACTGAAGCTGTGTAGCTTGAGAACTCTCACGATGAACCCATAAAGGAAGCAAACCACTGAGCTGATCAACTTAAAAAAAATAACTAATGAATGATAAATTGAACCAAACACTTGACTGGATCTTTAAGATTAGAAATCTAACCTTGATCTTCATCATTTTGATAATTCAGATCTAAAATCCACATAAAAATCAATCATAAATCGAAATTCAAATCCAAAAAGAAAAGGATCATTTAACATCCAGAATCAACACGTCCTTCCATCACAGATCATCATCAAGACCCATAAAAATCAACAAATAATGTCCACTAAAATGCGCTCATCTAATCCAATTAATAATCACCAGCAATTTCAACTTTCATTCTTTTTCTGTTCCTAGTAAAAGTGAAGAAAAACATGAAAAGTTTTCTTTCCTACTCTCTCGCTCCCTTCCACTGATTTTTTTCTTTTTCTTTTGTGTACATCAGGGTGTACATAAAAGGCGAATGTCGAAGAATGGCGATTTTCATTATTTAATTTTATGTCCAACAAAATGTCGACTTGAAATTTTCTCATTAGGGGGGCAATGTATAGGAACAAAACAAAAGGAAAGCAAAAGAAGTCAGTGAGATGAACGGAATCGACTATAAGATTCATTATTTCTTTTTTTTTATCATCATTGTGTCTAATTATAAAGAGTGAATGAAGCGTCGAATGTCGAGGAAGACGACACAATGATTTTGATGATGATGGCAACAAGACATTGAAGACAATTTTCTTATTTCTATTGAAAGCAAATAGCGCGCGCTCTTATTCTTGTCGTCTGTTTAATTAAAGAATTGAAAATGAAGATGAAAAGAAGGCCCATCACGAGCTGATCATCAAACTCTTCTTAATTTATGGTTCAATGCAAAATTTCAAAGAAGCAAAGAAAAATTGCAATAAGAACGAAATGAAAGTCTTTTATGTTATTGTCCATTTATTTCACACACAACATCACATTGAAGGAAGAAGAAATGAAATAGGGCCGGGAAGTTGAAATATTCTGTGTCTCACACATACTGCCGTTACATATTGCTATTACTACGTCTACATATAAATAAATAAATATGCTCTATTGTTGCAAATATATATGCTCGAAATGCGAATTCAATTTAATTGAGCAAAATTTTCTGATCCAGAAATTTATCTTCAACTTTATTACTATCGAGGGATCTAACAATGAAATTACTTTCAATGGCACAGGCAGAGAAGAATTTTCTTTCAGTTCTTTTTTTTTTGGGAAAAATGATTAAATAAAGGAAAAGTTGCATTCAACAGCAAAAAAATAAATATTAGCTGAATAGAATTTTTATTCATCATGCCAACAAAAGTTTGAGATGGAAAGAAGTCAAAGAAATCTTAATTTCCGTTCACTGACAGCAATTTTTTTTGGGGATAAAGAACGCAGACTTGCAAATATTTTTAATGCACTCGGCTGCTTAAATAAAATTAATTTAATTTCCATCAGCAAAATTATGAGAAACCTTAAACAGCTGACATTAAAATTGTAAAATTGAATTAATTTCGTGACGGAGCTCACTATTGAACTTTTAGCGGGCCATAAAATATTTTTTTTAAAAAAATAAATTGAATTTTTATTTATAGATTGCATGTCTGATATTATAACTAATGTTATTCTAATGTCTTTAGACAGCTATCGAATGGATTGTTATTGATTTTTACTTTAATTGAATTTACTATAGTTCTTTGAGTCATAATCTGCTGTAAATTTATAGAATTTTTTTAATTAACATGAGTGGAATCGATGATCACAATCGAGGATAGCACAGGTCTGTTAAATGATCCGAAATCAGTTTGACAAAATTAAAGTTTTGATAAAAATGAAGTGATCTTGATCATTAATAAAGATATTTGTCATGTTAGCAATAGCTAGTTTTATGGATGGAAGATAAAATACTGATCATTAAGGAATAGGGAGGAGAGTTTGTTTATGAATAATATTGTAGAATGACAAAGAACTTAACGTTACCAACTATTTCAAATGCAGCAGCTCAAAATTGAACAAGAATGATCATTAATTGCTAAGCACATTTTTTTCAATGCTTCATAAGAATTGAACCAATTCAGATATTATCAGAACAGTGAGAATCGAACTCATGTCTTTACAAAGAGAGTATATCAGATAACAAGCTTGTCAGAAGAATTCTCAACCAAAGTTTTTAATTCCTCTTTTAAACTGACAGAATCGCTTACATATGACTTGACACTTTAAAATATTCAGTCTCAGTAACAAAAAACTTCACCATATAGACATCCCACAAACAAATAAAAAAGAATATTCTCAAATACAAATTAAAAGCCTTACATGTTCAATGCTAATTTTCAAAAAGTTTTAATTCAAAGAAATTTCAAATAATGAAATGAAATATTCATAAATAAGAATTCATGTACGAGGTAAATGAGATCATTCATAAAAAAAATTCTCAAATATCGCATTAAACGCAAAACAAAAAAAAAGGAGAGAAAAAAATATTTTTTAATCGACTCATAAAGAAAGAATGAAACAAAGCCGAAATAAATTCCTTATTGCATGTTGCTGTGTAATTTACAATGAACTTATAATGAGTTTTATAAAATATCAAAATACTTATATTACATACAATGTATGGCAAGAATGTTTACAAGAACGATCGGCAATACAGTGGTGTTGTCTGGATACAAATAACATTATTTTTTTCGGGACATAGGCCATTAATCAAGCAAACGTTGCACAGTTTTTATATTTTTTTGAAAATTGTAAAAAAAAAGTATTATTATGATTGTTGTGAAAATTGTCATGGAAATTATGGACTTTTGATTATTTTCTATAGTTACAGGAAACAAAAGTCGATACTTTTTTTATGTTCCCGAGAGAAATTATTTCAATATCCAGAACAGTAGTAGACATTTTCAATCATATTCATATCACACATCCAATTATTTAATAAAAATGCATTCACAACTGCTTGTTGGCTTGCTTGTTGTTTTTTTTTTCGTTTGTTGACGATGAATTGAGCCACATTTATATGTTTAATACACACAATTCAATCTCATAAGCAGAATGATGCCTAACAAATCCATTTAAATGAAATTATGGGGTCGTTCATGAATAACGTCCAGCATGACTAGTTTGAATAACTATAGAAGAACTTAGTGAAAAAGGTGCGGGATGAAGTCTAAAACTCCAACCATCACTAGACGTCATTTATGAATAATCCCATTGTTGATTGAGGAATCTGAATAATTTTGAATGATAGAGGAAATTGGGCAACAGTGCCAAAAATAATAACAATAATAAAATTTATCTGTCTTTATTGTTGTATATTTGAGAACTTCCTGAGGATCCCAATTTCCTCTCATCGTTTTGCGCCAAAAAATATCAAAATTCACATTTTATCATTGTCAATTTTTCTTTACCTGTGAGTTGTCTATAAAGGTATTGACTATTCTTCTCACACTTAAATTAATTAGAATGTACGTAAGGATGCTTATTTGGGTACGATATAAAATAAATAAAAACTAGCAGCACTTTCTTAAACTTTTTAAACTTTTCTTTTTCGTTTACACAAAAATTACTCTTTTTTTGGAATTGAAAATAAATAATTGGAACTAAAATTGAACTTAAAATTAGTTACTGGTTCTGTTCAATAAACACTTATAGCATCTAAAACTGAAATTGTTTCACTAATTAGTTCCTTTTCCTTTTTATATGTAGCGGAACTCTTGTTATTATATTCTCATTCTTTTTTCTTATTGATCCAAAATATAAACACAAAAGCAAATAATTTGTTTCCTTTCTGTTTTGCCTCACAGGAATCAATTTATGTCTTCACTTTTAACTTAATTGGAATAATATGTGTACTTGTTATAAAAATGAGAAATAATCCTTAAATTAGCACGTAATTAGCTCCTAATTGTTAAATCCTTAATTTAAATAATTTAAAATTCACTTAACACGAAAAATTATTAAATTAATTTAAAAAAAATTCTCTTCCTTTCCAATTTTATTATTATATATTTTGTTATGTTTTTGTTTATTTGGATTTGAGCCGAGTATGAAAAAAATACATGCGAACTCACGGAAACATGGTAAGCAACTGAACTGCTGACAGAGGGAATTATGTATTATTTCTCTATGTTTCCAAAAAAAAAACTGTTTTTCTTCGTTGAATCATCATCATCCTCTACAAATACATAGGTAGAAAATCGGAGTTCTCTTCGAATGTTTTCATTCTTTTTTTTTCGTACACACGATTACGATTGTGTAAGTCGATTTGCTAACGCATACAAATAAACGCATCATCATCATAGAACAAAACATTTTTCTCGATATAGCTGCTGTGCTGTGCTGTATGATGGAAAATTGTTGATGCTTCTCTTCCTTCTTTTAAGGAAGACTCCGATTCGTGTGCTTTCTTTTTCTTATCACACAACATTTTCTCTTCATTTTCATGCATCGCTGAGATTGCATTAAGAGCCATAAACAGCCTTTTAGGCCGTGCATATAAAATTAATAACCTTAAAAGGCACAATTTTTTGCGGCAATAGTACAGGAAACTTTATTAATCCCGTTGAATGTACTTTATGCGTGTATGTCACACTTAGTCATATACATGTGTGTATTTAATATAAATGTGAGTAAGTAAATATGTTCCTGTATATACGGACATACATATTAATGCATAAATGTGTGCTACAAATCGAAAAGAGACAGCTGTGAATTTTATTTTTTGTTTTATGTTGCCAGCAATGTGTATTTATTATGCTTTTTATTTTTTTGAAAGAAAAGAAGAAAAAAAAACTGTTTTCTGCTTCAGCTTCGCTTATGTGCTGTCGTTGTTGTTCTTTCTTTTTTCCGCTTACTCTTTCTCTCTTTCTCAGTCATTTTTTCTTTAAGGACATTTGTTTTTCAGTTGAATGTTCTATTTATATAACAATTACAAGACATATACGTGAAGATGCAGTCAATATGTATTGATTGTGTACATAAATGAGATATTTTGTGTTAGGAATGAAAGTTGTAAGTCTTGGGAGAGTCGAAATCAAAGACAATATTCACAATCGATCAATATTTAATTGAATGTCAATGATTATTCAAGATGAAAATGCATTGGACGTAATGGAAAATCCTTTTGAAGCATTTTATGGACTAAAGACCCCTCGGTTAAATTTGATACTTTATTTCTCCTATCTGTTTAAACACGATTGATTATTTTCGTTAATAATGTAATTTAAAGGCGATTTAAAAAATGAGGATTCATGCGTGAGATGGAGATGAGTCAATGGTAATCCTCAATTTATTATGAATTTTCAATACTGCTTAGTCCATTTGTATGTTTTGGCTGTATTTTACGCACTTTTTGTTACTAATGGGGAATTTTTTGCAATCATAAGATTTTTTTTGGACGAAGTCTTGTATTGATGGATTTTTTTTCGTATATCCTTAAATTCAACTTATCCAAAATTAAGGATTTTTACAGATATTGAAGTTGATTTTTCATCTAAAATCAATATTTTTTCATTTTGGTAAAAATAAGCATTTAATACTCATTTTAAGTTTTAGAACTGAACTTCACATGATTTACTATGATTCTGTGAAATATTTTGTCAGCTTGTAGCTATAGCAAGCTCAGATTTTCAAGTAATTCGATTCAGTCAGATTATTTGAATTTGTACAACTTGAAGAAGTAAGACGCTCACTTAGAAGAACTTGTTAACTAAATGTAAGTACTCTTCAACTTCCCCTAACCTTTCTCAGCTACAGTATTTGAAACATTTTTTGATAGAATAAGTAAGGGGTCGTTCACTTATGACGTCTATCAAAAAACCTGATTTTTAGACGCCCCTCCCCCCCTCTGTCACAAAAATTCTATGGAAAAAAATCTCCATTGTTTGAACTGTCACAAAATCCTAGAACCCCCCTCCCCCCGCCCCCCCCCCTCCCCTAAATGTCGGGCGTCATAAGTGAACGTCCCTAAGGGTGTTGATTAAAACCTCAACCTCCAAACAATATCAATTAATTTGGTTTTCTTATCGCGCCACAAATTCAAACAACCTTGCATAATGTTATCTAAAACGATTCTCTGATCATTTACATCTTTGTCATTCGCTTTTACCTTACTAGACTGACCTAAGCAATGATTACTCCAGATCACTTTGAGATTCGATAGAAAATTCCTATTCCTGCTTTGAATAGTTTTATTCTAATTTTAAGAAGTCAAAAAGTTAACAAAAGATACACAAAATTTCACATCCAATGTCCATATCAAATGCCCTAAATACTTGCAGGTTTCCTCAATTATTTCTGCTTCATATTAAAAAACAATTAAGTTTCTGCCAAATTATTGCTCATTTTGAAAGCCATACTTTGACCATTGCATGCAAAATTAAAGATGAGAAAATGCGATATCTGGATTAAAAATCTAACATAATTCGATATTAAAACATCAAAGCATAAACAGAGTGTACAAAAAAAAATTATATGATTCACGGGATTCTATGAAGGTAAAAAAATTCCTTTCTGCATAAAAATTCATTGAAATTATTTTTTTAATTATCATTTTTCCTTATTCTCTTCTTTTATTTTCTAAATTCCATCCAAAATTTATATGAATTATGCTTATTTAAATTTCAACAAACAAAGAAAAAAAAATTATGCAGAAAAAAGAAAACTAATTTTATGCTCAAAACATCCGTCCAGAAATGTTTGAAAGCAGAACAAATGAAATGAATAAAATGAAGAACTTTTTTTTGGCAAAAGTAAAACTCGCGCCAGTGAAACAACAAAAAAATACATTTTTATGCTCGAATAAAAAAATAATTTTTGGATGAAATAAAGAGAAGTGTCGTGTACATAGACATACGTTTCATATAATTTTGCCGGTGTTTTATTTCTCAAGTAAGCGAGTAAGAAGTAGAATTGAAAATTATGTTATTGCTTATGTTAAGGAAAAATAAGAGCATTTTTATGTATGTTGGATTAAAAATTTATGCTGCTATTTTCTCGCTCTTATATGCGAATACATTCACTTTAAATAGCATGTAAATGATGAAACTCTCAACATGTACGCAATACATTCATTTTATCTATTTATACCATCGAAGTCTTTCTCACATCACATGGCGAATTAAATGAACTTTTGTCCTGAATCCTGAAAAACTAGTTTCTCATCTATACATAAAAATATAAGCTTGTATTAAATTACTGTGCTTGATGATGATAAAAACCATTAAAATACGTATATATACACAATACGAAAAAGGATCCTCTCAGCAACGACAGCTGCCAACTTTATACAACACATTCTCTACATGTACAAGTTTCTATGGCTTTTTATTGACTCACTTCTTTCAGACAGAGAATTTTTTTTAAATACTGAATTAAATTCATGACAGATTTTTGTATCATTTTTCAAAATGTGATCGTCTATAGGATAGCTATAAGGACTCCGAGCCTCTTGTGTGCCTTTAAGCAAATTTACTAAAAGACATGGGGAGAAATGGAAATGAAACGAAACCCCAAACAACCATTATCATCACTTTACAATATTGCACTAGGTCAGTGAGAACAATGTGCTGTTTTTTTTGCGGGAAAATGTTTACCATGATAGCTTCTGGTACTCATAAGAGGAGAGCGTGGAAAAACACATAAAAAGGGAATACTGAATGAAGTAGTGACGTAAGGGACACGATAATGCTCTCGTTTATTTTATTTTATTTTTTTTGGGGGGGAAAAATCTGAGTCAAGGGTAAAGTCATAAAAAATGACGCATTTAAATTAGACAATGAGCATTTACTCACATTATTTTCCCACTTGACTTCTGTTTTTTGACAAAATGTATTTTTGTTTGAGTGAATTTCTCACAGGAAAGTCGTAGCGATTAGCAAGTTTGGTTTAGATGTAATGAGTTGTTAATTTTTATTTTTAAGGAAGTGAATTTATTACGTCGGTTTTTATAATATTTCAAGCAAAAACTACTAGATTGTTCTTTAATTTATCACATCTTTGGATTTTACCGAGTTGACTGTTACTGTCAGTTGCCACACCAGCACTCATAGAAATAATTGTATGCTTTTGAGGAAAATCAAATATTCGATATTTGATTTTCCTCAAAACCATACAAATTCTAATATTTTTTCTATGAGTGAGTGCACGCATACTCAGACATATAATTTAATAATAGGATTGCCTTCAACTCCTTCTGTACAATTACTATCTGTAGTCTATGATGGGATGCTATAAGCTGATTTTCAGTGCATATGATTCGAAAAAGGGCAAATAAAATTTTTATATTTGTCGAGATTTGAACCCATGATCGATGGAATCGGTAAATTACAATAACCAAGTACCGTAGTACTAAACTATTCCACCACTAAGCCATTTAAGTTTGTCTGAGCAAATTCAACTATCTTAAAACTACTTTAACCATCAATAATCATATAGATACTAGCAAATTACATGCAAAATGTTGAGAATTCCTTTATTCATTTAAAAAAAGACATAATTTTCCTATCTTTAACCTTGAAGAGATCCTCACGGGACACAACAACCTTTATTCTATCAAAATTTATCTCCCCACGATTATCTTACGTTTATTTTCCCTGTTTTATCTCATTTCGTGTGACAAGCAGTTCCCTTCATCTCAATCTCATTCCGTTTCCCTCACAATCGTCTCAAAAACTCCCTCTCATTTTTGACAAATTTCTCAGTATTTATTTTACATAACCGACAAAAAACAAAATTTTTATGATCAATTATGCTTTCATAAAAGGATTTTATCACTTGACGCCTTCGCACTTGAGTTTATGACCTCCTCACATTGTTTTCCTTTTTCCCTCCTGCATGCCATTATTGTAATATCATCATGTTGATCGGATTTGACTCAAACATTTTGTATATACGAAATCCCCCAATAATTTTT